GTTGTGTTTTTCTTTTTTGCTTTGCTCATGATGTCGTTTGACATGGATGATTTTGCGCAACAGCCCTCCATTGAAAAGTTGGAGCGGTGCAATAAAGCAGACTTGTTAGTAGTGGCTAATTTATTCAAAGTGGATGTTCCGTTGCACTAAGAAGGTGGAAATTAAACAATGTTTGGTGGAGAAAAAGGTGGACAGGGGAGTGTTTGGGAGCATGAAAACTTCGCCGAGTGGGTCTGGGAGTTTGGAGACGGCAGTGGGGGCGGAAGCTGCTGGGGCCGTCCCGAAACCTTCTAAGGGGTGAATGACGTCGGGGGCGGAAGCTCCATTCGCCGCTCAATCTCCTAAATTTGACCTGACTGGCCAGGTTGCGGCGGGTTTGATGACGGAAAATCTCAAGCTTGCCCTTTGCTTGAAGGAGGTGGAGCTGGAGGCTAAGGCCAAGGAAGTCGAGCTTATGCATCTTCTCATACGAGCTATGGAGCTGGATCCTTCTTGAGCGAAGGACGCTGTTCCCATCCCTGTAAGTACAATCCATTGTACACGAGTTTAATGCCTGCTTTTAGGGAGGGAGAGGTTGATTCCTATTTCACTGCTGTTGAGCACATCGCAACCACTTTAAAATGGCCAAAGGATGTCTGGAGTCTGTTGTTGCAATGCAAATTAGTAGGAAGAGCGCAGGAGGTTTGTGCGAGTCTTTCCATTGCTCCCAGTATGAATTATGAGATTGTCAAGTCCACTATTTTGCGGGCTTATGAATTAGTCCCGGAGGCGTATCGGCAAAAGTTTCGTTCGTGTAGCAAGTCCGAGGGAGAAAGCTGTCTTATTTGACAAGTGGTTGGCTGCTAGTAAAGCGGAGAACTTTACTTAGCTGAAAGAGTTGATCCTGTTGGAGGAGTTAAAGACACGTCTTTCTGAAAATATTGTGGTGTACCTTAATGAACAGAAGGTGGGGTTATTGTCTAAAGCCGCTGTCCTTGCCGCTGAATTTGTGTTAACTCATCGTGCAGCATTCTCGATGGCGCACCGTGAGTACGCTTCTGCAACTCATCATGCCAACAGTTATAGGGTTTCTCCTAAGTGACAGACGTGTTCTGCTGCTATTCCTGTGTCGGACCGCAAATGTTGTTACTGTCATGAAATCGGTCATCTCGTCGCTGCTTGTCCATCACTACAGCACAAGGAGCAGGCTCACACTGCAAGGAAGCCAAAAAGTGTTGGTTTCGTTCGTTCTATGTCAGCTTCCACTTCACCTGGCAATGAAGTGAGAAGTGACAGCCTCGATGATAGCTACCGTCCCTTTGTGTCGGAAGGATTCGTTTCTTTGACCGGAAAAGGGGAGGATCGAGTGCTGATCACGATTTTGCGTGACACTAGAGCCGCGCAGACACTCATTTTGAGGGGTATTTTACCTTTTTCTGATGACACTTTTTGTTGTTCAGATGCTCTTATCTAGGGAGTAAAAATGGATGTGTTGCGAGTG